CCCCTCTTCCTCTTCTTTTCTCCAGCAAAGCATGTCGAGACATTTTTCCGTCCATTCAGTCAGCTGCAGAGGATAATCGCTGCTGTGCTTCAGCCAAAACGTGCCGCCACATCGCTTGTCAGCACTTCTAAATCCAACTTTGGAACAGAAGTGAGACTTTTCTCCATGCTACACACTTTTAAAGTTTTGCATGTAACACTTGAAAACATTAATATGTCACCGTCAAAATATCAGTTTGGTATAATTCTGAAATAAAAGATTGCTGGAGAGAACTAGTGGCATTTTTCCCTGCGCCTGTGAAATTAAAACCATGTTAGATATATAATACATTGCTTTCATTTAACACACACACTACATTAAAATGCACTTCATGTTGCTGCCTTGGTGATGCATATAGATGCAGCATTACTTTCAATTAAACCCACATGGTTGGTATATGAGGAAAAGAAACCAGATGGCAGCTAAGTCTATCAGTCCCTATTGAGTCTGGCCTGTTTCTCCAGTGTTACAATTATAGTTATTAACATGTCTAGTTAAAATGAATTTTTTTCAACCCTCTACTGACATCTTGACCACTTTGTTGCTGTTGTTGTGAAATTTACGGTTCACAAAACCCTGAAATTCCAGTCAGATCTAAGGAACAACCGTGATTTAAAGGCTGGGTACAAGGCTGTGTTTTTATTATCTGTTGCCTTATGTTGTATTTACTTCACTGATCAGCTAAGTTATGTGCTTACATTAAAGCTGCAGATAATATTGCATTTAAGCAGCAAAACTAAAAAATTCCCTGTAATTTACCATTCACGTCAGAAGTAGATATTGTCATTCTCCAGAGGAAGCAATATTTAGACCTTTTTTTCTGAAAACAAAAATGTAGTGACAGTTTTGATGGCATATATTGTTGTTTAGGTCCAGTAGAGTAAATCCATCTTATACCATATTTAGTTGGAAAATAGTAGTTCACAATTTGGGACTGACCGTGTCCCAAATAAAAGCATATACAGCATCTATAATTTCAGATTAGCTCATTGTGTTATTAAAGCTCTATCCAATAATTTGTGTAGATGTGACTTAGGACAACAAACTATGACAATGAAAGTCCAGTGATATCAGAAACAATATGAGTTTCCTCCAATGAGTAAGAGAGAATGCTGATTTCCTCAGGGATCAACCACTGATCTAATGCTCATCTCATCTCTTCTTTATTGTTAAAATACACACAGTCACATCTTTGTTTGATTAATGTTTATACAGTAAGTATCAGGGTGGAAACATGAGGTCACACATGACCTACTGAATGGACTGTATTGTACTGAATGTCCAAACTTGCTGTTTCATTCTTTTACTTTGATTTAATAAATGAGTGTGTGCTCCATTTGGCATTAATGATAAGCTGGTTTCATTAGTTGTGTGAAATTACTTCCAAAAAATAATCATTTTTAAGCTGTATTACTTTCCTAATTTGTATTTGTTCTACTTACAGTTTGCACAGTTAATCATCAGCCTCTCTCTGCCTAAAGTTAAACGTATGCCTGTGACCATCTATATTTAATAATTAAGGTTAGTTTGGTAATCTGTCTTTTTTATGATGGTCCTTTCTTTTAATATTCTTTTCATTCTTAACCATCTTGTCCATGTGTTTAACAGTAATTCTTAAATTCTGGTTTTTAGATGACCTCTACATAAATGAACCTGATTGTGATTATGTCTGAGTGCGTTGCATATTGGTTTTTTGTTTCTGCACATCTGCCCTGAGCTATTTCTACAATTCTTTGTGTGCTTCTTGTTTCTTGTGTGTATTAAAATAGCACTACAATTTCTGCACTGAGCCATCACACTCCAGTCACATGACCCATGTGTCTTATTCCAGGTTGCAGAGGAGGTGACAACCCAGCTGTGGTACCTTGTGTCCAACTGGAAGTGACACAGGCACAGAGTGGGAAAGATGGTGGGGAGCTTCATTTGTAACTCGCTCCTTGCTGTACTCATGCTATAAAGCTACATTCAAACAGTACACTCTTAAAGCTGCTCTAATCAGTATTTTTATATTAATAATAGATCAAATGAGTATGTGTAATGTGTCACTGCAATGAATGTACAGAGAATTTGCTCAAACTCTGCAGTTTCCAGCAACTCTACAGAGCTTTTTTTTTACCCTTTAGCTCATTGTTTTTGTTTTATAACTTGCAAGTGTACAGCTCTCATCAACCCATTTCTAGCAGCAGGTGGCAGCTGTTTTCAGTGACAGAGGCCAAATAAACCCTCTGTAGACTACCTGCCCAGCTATAAACAGCAGATGGATAAGGTTCATCGCTAGCTGATGAACATTTAGCCGCTTTAAAGTGAGATAAGATAATTTTCTCCAAGCTGGTGCAAACCAAGCCAGAAACCATTCAAAATTAGACATTTAAATGGAGATTAAATATTGCAACTACATTATTTAGGTCACCTATAACATACTGTACAGTGGCTCTA